TACCTGGGAGGCTAAGGTGGAAGGATCACCTGAGCCCAGGATTCAAGGCTGTGGTAAGCCATGATTGTGCCACTGTACTCCAGCCTGGGTGACAAAGTAAGACTCTGACACCAAAAAAAAAAAAAACAAAAGTCTCCCCATATATTCTAACTGTATTAACAGAGTTATTTGTAGTCTGCAGATATGGAGCTGGTAAGCCTCATTATCCTGTTACTGCATTTACAAACACACACGTGCACGCATGCATACACACACACATACACACACTTGTTTCACTAAATGCACCCAGACAAGTGCTGATGTAAACAGATGTTTCACTTGTTAAATACACTTAAGCTATATTGTATATACATGACAGTAACTGCTGTAATTTGAGTAATAAATTGTATGAATTATGTAGCTATTGTAATTTAGGATATTATTTTGTGAATTGTGTAGCATTTGGCATTTGATCTCTACCTTGTGTGAATTTTGTAGCTATTACATTTGAACTCCTAAGTGGTCTCTGATTGAATAGTGTGTGCATGGAGATAAAGTAGAGTTCTCTAAGTAAAACTTCCAAGACCTTCAACCCAACATTAGCACACAATGCTTTTTTAAAAAATTCTTTTTTTTGGTGGCGGGGGGCTGGTGCAGTGGCTTATGCCTGTAATCCCAGCACTTTGGGAGGCCAAAGCAGGAAGATTGCTTGAGCTTAGGAGTTTGAAACCAGCCTGGGCAACATAGTGAGACCTCATCACCACAAAAATTTTGTTAAAAATAGCCAGGTGCCAGGCTCGGTGGCTCAGCCTATAATCCCGCGCCTTTGGGAGGCTGAGGTGAGTGGATTGCCTGAGCCCACGGGTTCGAGACCCGCCTGGGCAGTGAGACCTCATTTCTACAATAAATCAAAAAATCAGCCGGGCGTGGTAGCATGTACCTGTAATTCCAGCTACTCGGAAGGCTGAGGCGGAAGGATCGCCGGAGCCCAGCAGGTCAAGGCTGCGGTGGCCGGGAGCGGCCACTGCCCTCCAGTCTGGGCGACAGTGAGACTCCAACCCAAAAAAAAAATAGCCAGGCATGGCAGCATGTGCCTGTAGTCCCAGCTACTTGGGAGGCTGAGGCAAAGGATCACTTGAGCGTAGGAGGTCAAGGCTGTGGTCAGTCATGATCATGCCACTGCACTCCAACCTGGGAGACAAGTGAGACTCAACTAAAAAAAATTTTTGTTTGTTTTATATGAAGAAAAAAGATCCATAATCCGCTGCTTTCTAAGGAGGGTGGGTCCTAGTAACCAAGGGGTTTTTGGCTTGCTGAGCACAAAGTGATGGTCTTGGTAGAATGACCTTTCTCACCTTACTGAAGATTAAATTACTCTGAATAAGCCTGTGGTCAGGGGAGACACCCAGGAGCTAAAGGGGGTCAGCCAGAGCTGGAGAGCTTGAAAGGCTCCTTAATGGAAAAGATCAAGGGAAAATAAAAATGGCCAAGGGCTTAACCAGGGTCAAAAGCAAAATGAGAAAGGCTCAGGTACCAACATCAAAGTGGCAAGATTGAACTAAGCTTACAGAATCCCTTCCCCCAGGTTTTGGAACTGCATAAAGACCAGGAGAGCAAGGGGCTGAGGCTTTGATGGCCCTGTAGAGAGGGAGATGAGGCTGCAAGGCCGTATGAAGCATAGAGTTGGTCCTAAGCATCTCACACACCATCTTTATTCTGAGGACTGTCTTTGAACGAGGATTAAGAATACTACCACCCACTGGACTCCAAAGCAGCAAAAAATCTGGCTGTTTCTCCTGGGCCATAGGAGGAGGGGGAAAGACATCCTGGAGAACCCTGAGACCCTACACCACCCAAACTCACATTATATTATGGAGAAGCACCAAGCTGAAAAACTGATATAAAACTGGTCTGGAATTGGTGAAACTACCTAGGGAGAGGTTTCCAAGCTCAAGACTCCCACAAAGGAAGACAAATCTTTTGCCAAAGATGAAACTACAATCAGAAATTATAAACCATGCAATAAAAATGAATTGCTAGAGAAGAGGATAAGCCAAAACACAAATGGAAGAAGTCACACCTCAAGAACTCAACAGAATCAAGTAGAACACAAAAAAGGAAAATTTGAAAAAGAATGAAATAAAAATATTAGAAATGCAGCATGATTGGTGAATGGATTAAACAATAAAGTAGTAGACACAGCTGAAGAGAGAACTAGAAGGAAGGAAGATTGGAGGATATTTCCCAGAATGAAGAGAGGTAAAATGTTAGAAAATATTTAAGAAAAATTGAGAGATGTGTATAATGAAATGACAAGCTTTCCGTATAGCTAAAATGAATCCAGGGCAAATATAGAATAAGTATGGGAAAGGCAATAATCAAAGAGAGAAAAATTAATCATCTTCTAGGGTATAAGCCCCCAGAGTGAATATGAAAAACAAGTCCTAAGCAGGACACAGAATAAAACTGAAAAGTATCACAGACAAGCCGGGCTTGGTGGCTCAGCCTGTAATCCTGCACCTTTGAATAAGCCTGGGCTTAACCAGGGTCAAAAGCAAAATGAGAAAAGCTCAGGTACCAACATCAAAGTGGCAAGATCCCTTCCCCCAGGTTTTGGAACTGCATAAAGATCAGGAGGGCAAGGGGCTGAGGCTTTGATGGCCCTGTAGAGAGGGAGATGAGGCTGCAAGGCCGTATGAAGCATAGAGTTGGTCCTGAGCATCTCACACACCATCTTTATTATGAGGACTGTCTTGAACGAGGATTAAGAATACCACTCCTTTGGGAGGCTAAGGTGAGTGGATTGCCTGAGCCCGTAGGTTCGAGACCCGCCTGGGCAACTTGGTGAGACCTCATCTCTACAATAAATCAAAAAATCAGCCAGGCGTGGTAGCACATGCCTGTAATTCCGACAGAGTGAGACTCCAGCTCAAAAAAAAAAAAAGTATCAAAGACAGAAGTTTTTGGCTACCTACCAGAGAGAAAATATATTCTACTTACAGTCTTTATATGAAGGCTATCTTTGAATGAGGATTAAAGGCTCCTTATGGAGAACATCAAGGGAAGATATCAAATGGTCAAGCGCTTAACCAAGATCAAAAGCAAAACGAGAAAATCTCAGGTGCCAAAATCAAAGTGGCAAAGTAGATCCCCCAATATACTAGGAGACATTTCTCAACAGTAAAGACCCAACTGAAAATAATTATTCAAACGGTTAAAGGAAAAGAATGGTTCAGGGACCCCGTCTGCTTTTCCCCCCAAAAAATGAAAATGTGACCTTGCTGGTGCTGCATTTGTTTTGAGACTCATCTGTGTGACTTAGAGTAAGGGCGGGTATTGTTTATGTTACTTCCTTTGAAGTAATGATACAGGTGATACAAAGTGACTACCTTGTACAGAGAGTGTGACCTACAGCTAGGAGCTGTGTTGAAGGCACTGGAGGCCTGAAAGCTGGGCTGAGATGGGTTGAGTCTGCTCCTGCTTGTGTATCGGATGCGCGGTTTCTGCCAGGTTCCTGATTCCTCAGCCAAATAAAAGTTTAGAGTAAGGGAGGGGAAATGTGAGCAGGGAGGGTGGCTCAGGTGTGTCAGTGTGGCCTCTTCCTGCCAGCTTCAATGTTTCAATTACCCAAAAGTGTCTCAAGAATAGAAATCCTGAATACAACACAATGCTCATTAAAGAAACTGAATCTGTGACAAGATATTTCTTCAAAAGGGGCCCCAGGCCCAGAGGGTTTTTCAGATGAGTTTCATTGAACATAATATATTGTATGCAAGCTGTTTTAAACAACAGAAAAAGAGGGAAAGCTATCCTCCTCATTTTATGGAGCTGGTAAAATCAATTTTTGTTGTTGCCCAGACTGGAATGCAGTGGCATAATCAGGACTCACCACTGCCTAGACCTCTTGGGCTCAGGTGACCCTTCTGCCTCAGCTGCCCAAGTAGCTGGGACTACAGGCATGCACCACCACGCCTGGCGAACTCATTTTTAATTTTTTGTAGAGACGAGGTCTCGCTATGTTGCCGAGGCTGGTCTTGAACTTCTGTGCTCAAGCAGTCCTTCCCCTCAGCCTCCCAAAGTGCTGAGACCACAGGCATGAGCCACACCCCTTCCAGATGAAGCCAGTACACTCTTAATACCAACAGTTAATACGGACTGTAATTTTAAAATATAGGCCAGTCTTATTTCAGCATATAAAATCAAACATTTTAAATAAAATGATAGTAATCAAATGCCTACAAGCAAAGACACTGAAAAACACCTCACAGTTCTGGAGTAAGCATGAAAATAATTTAGGGCTGGGCCACAGAGTGAGGGACGGTTGGGGGCATATATATAGCAAGACTAATCGTGAGTTGGCAATTGCTTAAGCTGGGTGAGTGGTACACAGAGGTTTGTTTTGTACTATTTTGCTTTTGAATATGTTTAAAATTTTCCATAATAAAAAGCTTTTCGTTTTTGTTTTTTCAAAGCATTATGGCCAATCACCAGGATTTTTCCCCAAGGAAGGAGAGAACTTGTCTCAGGATTTCTTTGTGAAACACTGTAGGGTGTGCTGTGTAAACGTCCTCTGTCTTCTCTTTGGCAAAAAGTACACATTTCTTACAATGCTTTTACCTGAGAGAACTTGTGCTTTTGTAGGGCTTGAAGTATACAACCAAGGGACAGCTGATATGACGTTTCTGTGACTACCCCTCTGCATTGGAGCCCAGAGGCACCTAAGAACACATGCAATGCAATCAAAGACGTGTAAACGTCAGAACCAGGGAAAACATACAGACCGTGGAGAGATACATGCTTGTACTTTAGAGCAATTTTTATTTGTATGAAAAGAGCCGCTGACACCTGAACCAAGAAAATATTTCTGTGGCTAACTGCCCATGGACTGGCCCCTCAGCCTTGTGTGTAGCCTGCTCAAAACAACGGAGATCTCTCCCGACCCTGACATTCGTGAACATGGTGTGTTTCTGTACAAACTCCTAACACCTGGAAAGGTCACGTGGTGCCTGCTTTAATTTCAGGACAGGATTCCATGGCTCTGCAACTTGCATGACATTTTGCTAAGGTAAGAGACCCCTGGGCCTTGGCATAACCCCATGAGTTAAAAAAAAAAAAGAAACCTCAGAAAGTCCGGGGGTGGAGGGGAATACACTCCTAAAATCTCAACACTATATAAGCAAGAATCTAACTTTGACCTTTGAAGCACTGGCCTATTTCTCTGGAGTCCTTGTCTCCTGAATGGCCATTTCCAGCTTTTCACCTGAATAAACTTATAAGATGGAAACAGAAAATCACAACTGACTGACTCACTCTCCTGTGTGGTCTCTGGCCACATGGCTTTCCCTGTGTGGGTGCTGTGTCCTGCTGCCTTTGTTTCTGGCTCTGGTTTTTCCTAGTGCCTCCCTGGGACCCTCTCCTACCCTCCACACCCTGCCCACTCAGGGCTGATGCTCCCTCCTCTTCTGCTTTCTCTGCATGGGAGACTGACTCCCCCAGACACTGTAGAGATGGGGAGACGCCAGCTGCAGGATGCAGATCACCGAACGTCCTGCACAGGACCTGAGCCAAGCTGTCTGCGTGGGGCAGGGGCACACCGGCAGCCCCCTACGTCCACACGCTGAGGCTGAGCCACATCTTGCATCCATTAAGAGCAAAACCAACACTTCTGTCTACCAACCTTTGCCTGCTCTCTGGGCTGGTACCCTGAGTAACCCCACTTAACAGATGGTGAACTGACACCCAGGGACGCAAATATCTTCGCCCAAGAGTGTTCCCTTGACGAGTGGAAGACCGTGAGCTCCAAGCTAGGCCTGCCTGATGCTCAACTGCCATTTTCTAATGCCTTTTTACTGGCAGAGATGAAGGCCTGGAGTCCTCTATCTAAAACTGACACCCCCTCCCCATCCTTTTTTCTTTTTTAACAGACATGTAGCCTCAGGACAGCGTGTGGTTCTAGCTTGTTCAGCCCTGAAGAAAATGTACAGAGACATCTTACTGCGAGGAAAAGAGGGTACAGCTCTGAAAAGTGAGGAGTTGGCAAAGGAGGAGCTGGCAGGGATAAGGCTCCTGGTGGTCCATCTGAGTGGCTCGTTTGAGGTCATCTCTGGACGCTTACTCAAACGAAAAGGACATTTTATGCCCCCTGAGTTACTGCAGTCCCAGTTTGAGACTCTGGAGCCCCCAGCAGCTCCAGAAAACTTTATCCAAATAAGTGTGGACAAAGATCTTTCAGAGATCATTGCTACCATCATGGAAGCGCTAAAAAGGAAATAAGAATTATTCTGGATCAGTGGTCCAGGCAGAATGTGGTGTAAATCTCGATTCCATCCCAAAGCCAAATTTTAAATTTAATATTTAATGGGTACAATTTTATTAAGGTAAACAAACCACAATGTGTCGAGATAAACATGTGGGTATATTTTTAGGAATCGTGCTGGTTCATCGGGAGGAGAACAGAGAAGGAATTTTAAAAGTCAAGCTTGAAGTGTAAATTCATCTGCCCAATGAGATGATCAGAGGAAATTCTGTGATTGATGCTGGAAATCATTACCCCGTTTAGAACATTCTTGCGCCTATGTTTGTACTAATAAATGTAACCTGGCTATCCGTGACATCTCTTGGGAGCAGAAACAGGTGCAAGTCTTTTCATACTACACACCTAATTCTCTCTCTGTCCCTGAGCTGTGGTTCAGAGCAGTGGCCCTTAAGCTAAGGTCCCAAAAAGTACTGATGGGAGAAGAAGCCGATTTTGTCCAGTTCCTCAACACAGTCTTATCTACCCATCCTATCTACCAGCAACAATACCAAGTTTCTTGCCTTTTGGCTAAAATTACGTCAACTCAAAGTTGTAACAGTCTCTGGTGATCAACACCTTTTTACTGAGTTGTCTGTTATGTTAATTACATGCGTGATTTAAACACAGAAAATAACTGCTACATAAAGGGTAGAAGTTGGTCAACAGAATCTGTTTTTAGAGACAGGGTCTCAATCTGTCACCCATGCTGCAGTACAGTGGTGCCATTAGAGCTCACTACAGCCTCGAACTCCTAGGCTCAAGGGATCCTCCCATCTCAGTCTCCTGCATAGCTTGGACCACAGGCACATGCCACCACATCTGGCTAATTTTTAAAAATTTTTTGAGAGACAAGATCTCACTGTGTTGCCCAGGCTGGTCTCAAACTCCCGGCCTCAAGCGATTCTCCTGCCTCAGTCTCCCAAGTTGCTGGGGTTACAGGCAGGAGCCACTGCACTCAGCTCCACAAAATTGGATATGATAATAAAAAGGATCACTTTGATAGACTAAAGATGGAAAACGATTATCTTAAGCTGGGCATGGCGGCTCATGCCTATAATGAGGCTGAGACGAGAGCCCGGTGTTCAAGACTAGCCGGGAAACTTGGCAAGACCTTGTCTCTACAATAAATCAAAAAACTAGTTAGGCGTGATGGCACATGCCTGTGGTTCCAGTTACTTGGAAAGCTGAGATGGAAGGATCGCCTGAGCCCAGCAGGTTGAGCTTACAGTAGCCGTGAGTGTGGCAGTACATTCCAGTCGGCCACAGAATGAGACTCTGACTCAAAAAAAGAAAAAGAAAAACTATTTTAGAGAAAAAATTATGTTGTTCAAGTATGGGAAGCTGTCAAAATGGGCCATTTTTGAAGGTCTTGCCCACAGCGTCTGTGAATTTGCAGAGTATCCGAGCTGGAGACAGAACTCAGCAGGCAGCCCAAAGCACATGGCGGTGCTGCTGGGAATAGCCAAGGCATGGGACTTCAGGTTCAGTGATTTCAGGCTCCACTTTAAATAATTTGACACATGTGATCAGAAAAGGTCCTCTTACATTTCTCTGTCACTCTGCCCATCTGTGGCCTGGGGAATGTCTGTTTTGTGCACATGTCTTTACCTCTTTCCCAGCACTGGCCGAGCTTCCTTTTCAACAAGAGAACAACCGGGCACGGTGACTCATGCCTGTAATGCCAGCACGGTGGGAGACTGAAGCAGAAGGATTGCTTGAGTTCTGGGGTTTGAGACCGACCCAGGCAACATAGCGAGACCTCAAGTCTACAAAAAAATCAAAAACTTAGCTGGGCATAGTGGTACAGGCCTGTAGGCCCAGCTACTCAGCAGGATAAGGCAGAAGGATCGCCTGAGCCCAGGAGGTTGAGGCCACCGTAGCTGTGATCATGCCACTGCACTCCAGCCAGGTGACAGAGTGAGATTCCTGACTCAAACAACAACAAAAAACGGAGAGAAAGAGAGTGCAGCCGTGAGTCCAGTCTCCCCACAATTTAATGGCTTGACTTACGGTTTAAATATATATATATTTTTTTTTTTTTTTTTTTAAAGAGGATCATTTCTCCATATTGACAAATAAAAAGTACATGATTCATGTGTGAGACTCACTGACCCCGTCTAGCCCTCACTGTACAGAGAGGCAACCGGGGGTCCAGAAAACTCTCGTGAGCCCAGGCTGCTATCCACCCGCTCGCCTTCCTGTGTAAAAGTCATCCTTGATGGACACTAGGCAAGCAGAGAAAGCACTAGAGCTTCCAGGGCCATGAGAAGCAAAACCTTCCAATGGGCAGCAACTCAGGAGTTTGGAAGTGCTGGTGCATTCCCGGCAGGCAGCTCCTCGGGGCTCTAGCTGTACAGGTTGGCACGGGCCTGGTTTGAGCCCTGCCCCACATATGGCTCTGGGAAGGCGCTTTATGCCTTTACCCCAACCAGGGCTACAGGTTTAGAACCAAGTACCTTGTTTCCTTTTACAAGGACACGCCATTTTTGACTCAAGAGCTTAAGTGGCTTGTACCTGTAATCCCAGCAACCCAAGAGCCTGAGGTGTGAGTTCCACTTGAGGTTACGAGTTTGAGACCAGCTTGGGCAACATAGTGAGACTTCAGTCTCTCAATTTTTTTCTTAACTAGCCAGTTATGGTGGTCCATGCCTATAGTCCCAGCTACTCAGCAGGCTGAGGCAGAAGGATCGCTTGAGCCCTGGAGTTCGAATCTGCAGTGAGCCATGATCATGCTGCTACACTTCAGCCTAGGTGACAGAGTGAAATCTTGTCCAAAAAGAAAAAGGAAGGAAGGAGGGAAGAAAGAAAAGGTGCCAGTAGAGTGCAAGAGGTTTTCTGGGTGGATGGCCTTTGCCTAAGAACCTGTGGAGCTGTGGCTGTGCTCTCTGCCAAGCCATTTGGAGTAGCTCCTGCCGGGCTTTGGTCTAGATCAACCCTCGTGTTCAGGGTGCAGGTCCTTGAAGTTGTCCAGTTAGCGCACCGACTGGATGAGAGCCCCCCAATGGAGGAAGGAATCCATCAGCCTGTGGTGGGCACTCCGGAAGGCCTGAGGGCAGAAACACAAAAGTCTGGGCCCTCGAGTGGCTCAAGTCAGGGTGAGAGAAAGGCATCTTGTATTCTCTGGCACCAACTAGAGTCGTTCCGAGAGAGGAAGGATGCACCAAGGGCCTTGAAAACGGGGATTTCAGCCGGGCTTGGTGGCTCAGCCTGTAATCCCGCGCCTTGGGAGGCTGAGGTGAGTGGATTGCCTGAGCCCGCGGGTTCGAGACCCGCCTGGGCAACTTGGCAAGACCTCATCTCTACAATAAATCAAAAAATCAGCCGGGCGTGGTAGTGCACGCCTGTAGTTCTGGCTACTCAGAAGGATCGCCGGAGCCCAGCAGGTTGAGGCTGTGGTGGCCGGGAGTGGCCATTGCACTCCAGTCTGGGCGACCGAGTGAGACTCCGACTCAAAAAAAAAAAGTTTTCCCTGCCACTGCCATGTAGATGGGACTCAGCACAAACTGGGTATCCAATGGGGCCTTGCTTGCCAGACCTTACCCTGGGGTTCCCACCCCTGGCTGCTCATCAGAGTCGGCTGTGGAGCTTTCAGAGCCGAGACCTGGACCACCTTGTCATACACACAGGTGCTGTGTCAGTGGGCATGGAGGCGGCGGAAGGCATCCGTGCTTTTAGATTCCTCGGGTAGCCAGGCGCAGTGGCTCATGCCTATAATCCCAGTGCTTTGGGAGGCTGAGACAGGCTTGCTTAGCCTGGGAGTTCAAGACCAACCTGGTCGCCACAAAAAAATTTAAAAACTAGCCATGCATGATGGTATGTGCCTGTAGTACCAGCTACTCAGGAAGCTGAGGCGGAAGGATCGCCTGGACCCAGCAGGTCAAGGTTTCGGTGAACCGTGTCAGTGTCACTGCACTCCAGCCTGGGAAACACGATAAGCTGATTAAAAAAAGAAAACAGGAAAGGTAAAGTGCTCACACATGCTACACCATGATGAACCTTGAAAACCTTATGCCAGCGGAAGTGGCAAAAGTGAAAGACGCCAGACACTCAAGGCGTAGGACTCCATGTATATGAAAAGTCCAGAATAGGTGACTCCATAGAGACAGGAAGTAGATCAGTGGGTTGCCAGGGAATGGGGGAAGGTGGGAACTGGGACAGGCTGCTAATAGGTGCACAGTTTCTTTCGGGGATGAATGGAGATGTCCTGGAACTACACAGCAGTGGTGTTTGCACAGCGTAGTGAAACATACCGAAATCCTCAAAAGCGTATGTTTAAATGGTGGATTCCATGATACGTAAATTTATCTAGCATTTTTTGGTACTGGCATTTATCACAATAAAACAATACATCAATCAACACAGCAAATGCACCACGGGTGTGGAAGGAAGGGCACAACCCCAGCACAGACGCCTCCCCACCCTCAGCTGGAAGAAACTCTCAGTGCAGGAGGCAGCAGGCCTGAATCTATTCTCACACACCTCTTACTCCTAAAAATGAGTCCTGTGTTTTTTGGGGGTTTTTTTGGAGTTGGAGTCTTACTCTGTCACCCAGACTGGAGTGCAGTGGCCGCTCCTGGCCACCGCAGCCTCGACCTGCTGGGCTCTGGCGATCCTTCCACCTCAGCCTTCCAAGTAGCCAGAACTATAGGCGTGCGCTACCACACCCGGCTAATTTTTTTTATTTCTTGTAGAGATGAGGTCTCGCCAAGTTGCCCAGGCGGTTCTTGAACTCACAGGCTCAGGCAATTCACTCACCTCGGCCTCCCAAGGCACGGGATTACAGGCTGAGCTACTAAGCCTGGCTGAGTCCTGTATTTATATTTTTTTTTTCCTTAATTATAGAAATAGGGTCTCATTAGTTGTCCAGGCTGGTCTCAAACTCCTGTTTGAGACAGGATCCTTTCACTTCAGCCTCCCAAAGTGCTGTGAATACAAGCATGCCCCGCCCTTGCCAGGCCTGAATGATTTCTGTGTTTAAACATCAATATTTGCCTCACAACACGGCCTAAGTGCAGGTCAGCTACTTCACCTTCAACCTCCAAAGCTTCGATCTGTTCCAATGCTGGAGGCATAGGCTGTGTGGGATCCACCGAAGGGGGCCTGTGTTCTGTGGTCATTCTAGCTTTGAGGACACTTTTGACTGTGATTTTTATTTTATGACTGCCTTAGAAGACAGCAGAGATAGGGTTTCGCCCCTTGGTGGCAGGAATGGTGAGCTGGAGGCAAACCCTGATGTGGAGGCTGGAGGAAATGCAACCTCACGTAACTGGCTCATCCAGGGGCCACCGCCCTTGGCCTGGGCACTGCTGGAAGCTGGG